CCGGATCTAGATGACTGATAGCCTCTCTGTTGTGGCTATTGCTAATGGGATGAAGAAGGGATGGGGAGGAAAGGACAGTATCCTTCACTTTTACTGCAAGTCTCAAGTGTAGAACAGACCCTTCTGTTATTTTCCGCTAGCACTGGTGAGATCAGGCTGAAATGTAAAGGATATATTGCACAGAGAGTAGTTTGAACTGTTTTGCAGAGCATGGGAAAGAAAGGATAAGCCTTTTTGTCAAGTAACTGGGCACCCTAGAGTTAGGAACCTAGGAACCACCATACAGTACACGTTGCCAGGCTGTGTAGGGATGCTTTATTCTGGCACTCCAGCTGGGTTACAAGGGGACCTAAATACTAAGCAGATTTCATAGATGCCTCTTCAGGGTCCTAAGTCTCCACCCAGGATCGTTTCCATTCCAAAACCACCCACTTGGGGCACCTCATCTGAGCCTGGAGAAGTTGTGTATTGCCTTCTGTGCCTTGAAAGCGGTCACAGTGGCAGCAGCGTGGAAGTTCAGATTTGACTAAATAAGTGAGCTGATTCCCCAGCTTGTCTCCAGCAGCACCACTTTCCAAAAGCTCCCTGGCCAAGTTTTACTTCCACAACAGTAGAAGGAGATCCCACCCATTATTTACAAACTGCCAAATGGTGAATGCTCTCATTTCACTGAGATCTGAGGGGATGCCACAGAACACTACTGCTTTCTGGTTGGGTGGTGCCCCCTCCAATCTTGGTAGGGGTTTTACATCTTACCTGATGGTACTCTGTAGTGTAGCATTGCTGACTGATGCTGGGCTGATCCTGAGAACATCTACAAAAATCTTACCAAGTTTTTCAGATGATTTGTACTTCCTCCTCAAATTGAAAGTGACATCCTTTCTCTTCCCAAGGTATTAGCTTCAGTAAGCTGGGAGAGGTGCCTTGGTGTTCTTGTAACTTAAGTTTAACCGCATCAAAGTATATCAGTAAGGAAAACTTCAGAAATGTTTGGATACAGTTGACCCAGACAGGTGACACAGGGGTGTTCATTTTATCTCAGGCACCCCTTTTTCTGGACCAAGGCTTCTTACTGAAACATACAAGCAGGGCCTTTTGTAATTAAGATCCTAAGATTTTTGAAACTTTGATGAGTAAGCTGCTGTAAAAACTGTTGTTTAAAAGCTGAAATCAGCTTTGGTGTTACAGGAGATGGAGGCTTGAAATCAGCTTTTGGACATTTATTTATTTATAGTAATATGAATAAAAAAACTATAAAGTTAACCAAATGCAGATGTCTTAGACTCTGAATCTAAGTGTTTAGTTTGTTTATATAATTTGTTGTATATGATTATTCCTAATAGACTTAGTTACTTTGGGAAGGTTAGACTCTTCTATGCTGTAAATCTTTAAATTGTTCCTTTGGAGTTGTGAGGATCTTCTTTAGGTAGTTTTCAGGAGATAAGAAGATAACACAGAGAGATTTGTAAGAAATACATAAAGTTGCAGTCTTCTCCTCATGGTAGAAGAGGAACTGGACTTTATATGTTAGGCTGGAGTTGGACAGGAAATATCCTCAACAGTGCTCCTTGGTGTTCTGAATACTAAAATCATTTGAATTAGTGTAAGCTAAACAGTGAACTTATTTGTAAAGATTCAGAAGAATCGGCCAGGTGTGGTGGCTCAAGCCTGTAATCTCGGCACTTTGAGAGGCTGAGGTGGGCAGATCGCTTGAGCTTAGGAGTTCGAGACCAGCCCGGGCAGCATGGTGAAACCCCACTTCCACCAAAAATACAAAAAATTAGCCAGATGTGATGGTGTGCATCTGTGGTCCCAGCTATTCAGGAGGCTGAGGTGGGAGGATTGCTTGAGTCTGGGAGTTGGAGGCTGCAGTGAGTAGAGATCATGCTACTGCACTCCAGCCTGGGTTATAGACTGAGACCCCATCTCAAAGAACAAGATAAAGGAATTAAACTAAAGAGCTTCTGCACAGCAAAAGAAACTACCATGAGAGTGAACAGGCAACCTACAGAATGGGAGAAAATTTTTGCAATCTACTCATC